GCCTTGAAAAAGATTGATGCCACAACTCACAATCAAGCATTCAACAAATTCAATCATTTTTGGACTGGGCCCTATATTATCAAAAAGTAAGTTGGACTAAGCTCATACAATCTAATCACATACCTCGATAAGTGGGAACCTGCCCGATCCGGTCCCTAGACTTGGGCTGTCAAAACGGCTCGTTGTTCGCGAACAACTCGTGTTTGGCTCGCTTGCTAAGTTAACGAGTTGAACACGAAAAAAGATTTGTTCGTTTGTGTTTGGCTTGTTTTGGCTCGAAATGCTACTCATCAATTATATATATATACCAAAAAAAAATTATATATATAGTAGTTTTTTTAAAACTTTTAATTGACTGTAGGGCTACAAAGATTTACAATCAAATAAAAGTATTAATTAAGAAAACAGAATAAAAATTATTAAATTAGATTCAAATGATGTTTTAATATAAACAATAATTTTTAAATTTTGCCTCAATCCTTAACATCTGATGACTACGTGAATAGGGTTGTCAAAACGGCCCTTTGTTCTTGAACGACTCGTTAAGCAAACGAGCCGAACACGAACACATTTTTTGAGCTCGAAATATAAACGAGCCGAACACGAGCTGACCCTGGGATCGCTCGTGTTCGACTCTTTTACACCCCTACCCGAGACCCCCCGACAATAGATGGACTTTGTAGGAGTAGCTTCCCAAGGAAGTAAAACTTGAAGAAGTGTCAAAAGACTTTCGAGTGAAGATCGTTTTATAGCTTGCACGTTATTTTTTTTTTTTTGAAAAATAATAATTTATGGCGATTCGTTTAACCCTACCAGGGGGGTCAGTTGAGGTATGATATGATCACTGGCCCTACCTGGGGGAGTCTCTCAGAGTTGTCCATCAAACCAAACTCATCCGGTCCAGTTTCAATCTACCTTCGCACAAGTCCGCACCTCATTGATCATGGAGACATGACCTCCCATATCAAATTCTTCTCATGAGGGACCAAGTGCAATTATTTTGAAAGACGTGCCTCAACATCTGCTTTCTCCTCTACCTTTCTCTTCTTAAGACGGGTTACAACCAACACTTGCTTTTCCAACACAACTTCTCCTTTACTCGCAGGAACTAAATTAGGAACTCAAGGAATCAAAACTGAATCCTTAACACTATCTCGACTTCCTTTTTTAGTCTGCTCTTCTTGGGAGCTTTGTGAGGGGAATCTTGTCCTCTTCATCTCTGCCTACATCAACGACAAGTGTGTCAGCAACTCGCTCATCTTCGCTTGTAGCTATTATTGCTACTAGGCTTGAAGAATCAGGACCTTCAACATTTATCTCTTGGAAGGTTTGCTTGAGGGGCCAAGTGCTACTGCCTTTCTCTTCTTAAGACGGGTTACATCCAACATCTGCTATTGCAATACAAATTTTCCTTTACCTGCAGTAACTAACTTAGGAACTCGAGGAACAAAAACTGAATCCTTAAACACTATCTCGACTTCCTTTTTTAGACCTCCCTTCTTAGGAGTTTTTTTAGGGGAATCTTATCCTCCTCATCTCTACCTACGTGAATGAGGAGTGTGTAAGTAACTCACTCCTCTTCTTCGCTTGCAACTATTATTGCTTACAGGCTTGAAGAATCAGGGCCCTTAGGATCGCCTCCTGGAAGGCTCACTTGGAAGAGATCCCAATATCTCGGTCCTACAACAAGAGTTCGTTGAGACCTTCCTGAAGTAAAGGGCATAATATTCAAATTTATTGTCAAAAAGTTATTTATGGAATATCATTTATGCAAGCATGATTCATGTGTACCTGATAAAGCTGTTTTCATGTATATTTCCACCGTAAAAAATTCGGCATTGAGCGCCACACCTTTAAGAATGATTTAAATTTGATGCTTCTCAGGAATAAACTCCGTGATAGCTGGCGCCTTGTACCCTACAAATGGTTGAGGGGTTTTGGTAATTGCCCGCATACTCTTGGAATGGGCAAAGTAGAATCTGGAATCTTGTTCTTCAAATTTATCATTACTATTTCGGAGGAGAAAACAATACTGTCCCATCCTTGAATGTTTTTTGCCACATCAAGTTGCGAAAAATGTTCACCGACCAATATAACTTTCTATGTCTCAAAACAATATTACTGAAATCACATTGGCTATTGAGTTTGGGTGAATCTCTGCGGGAACCAATATGAAGAAGTTCAGAACATCTATCGGCTCCTCCCACAAAGGGAAACAAGACTCAAGCCGAGACTGGTCTTGATATCAACACACCTCATACTGAAGTATGGTATTTGGGGCTTCATCCCAATGAGGCAACCAAATAACATAGGAAACGTAAAAAATGTAATTCCTTTGTATCATGGCTAAAGCTTCCGCAGTCAATGACGATCTCGTGGACACCTTCAAATCAAGAAAATTCATGCTACTCATCTCCATAGCATTGGGACCAAATCCATCTTCGGATTGGAATCTCTTATGTTCGCTATGATTGCAAAAACAAAAGTTACAAAGAAATTGGGAAAAGTAAGGCATGACACAAGGACACTAAAACAAGGAATAAAAAATGAAAAAGGAATAGAGAATTTGTACTACCTAAACCCTCTTATACATTTGTAAGGGTTAAAAGCGAAAATATGTCCTAAAAATATATGGTGATGGGTTTGTATAATATTTTAAAAATAGAAAGTTATTTCACAATAAATTAGCCATCATCACAAAGTCATTACGCTATGCCTTAGTACCAAAGACTATCTGGACAATCTTTTGAAGAAACAAAATGCCTTAAATATTCTGCATCAAACGAGACAACACAAAAAACTATAAAGGATGATGCGATCATACTCTTTCATAAAATAAACCCAAGTCTTGATTCTTTACACCATCCAGATCAATTTTCCTAGACCGCACAGGCTTCTTCATAACTAACAACGCTCTTGCAATACACTGTCCGGATTGGGCCAATTTAACTCACTGATAAAGGAGCAACAATGATGAATTTGTTTCTTCTAGTTCTCTAAGATTCCTTTGGATCTTTGTAAAATCCATCCAAGTTATCCTCTGAAGAAAGGTCATGTTCCTTGGCCTTCTGCAAGTCATCTTTCAAATCCATGACATGTACTAGCCTGTCGAGCGACCTATCTTCAAGATGCGCTATTTATTCTTTTACGACTATGAGCTCTTCTTGAACTTTTACGGCTCTCTAGAGCTCAGACGAGCTTCTCATTAGTCTTCTCTAGCTTATGGCGAGTTGATAACAACTCTTCCCTCAATTGACTTATGAGTAGGGGTGTAAGCGAGTCAAGACTATTGTGAGCCGGCTCGAGCTTGGCCAAAGAGCTAACAAGCAAAGCTCAAGCTAGCCTTGACTCGACTCGTTAGTTTGTGAGTTAGCTCGTTTTAAAAAAAATATTAATATTAAATATACTCAAAATATATTAAATTTGAAGACTTTATCTTTAGAAAATTAAAATTTTTTTAAAAATAATATTTTGTATTTTATATTAAGTGATTTCTTAGTATTTCTCTCGTAATTGCTCATTCTATTTGTCATGTTATTAAAACACTACCCTAAATCATTATTATTTTCTCTCTTTTATGCTAGACAAGCTGGGCTCGTAAGCCGCTTGCACTTGTAGACTTAAGTTCGAGCTTGAGCTCAAACTCGATAAATTAATCATGCTCAAGCTTAAGCCGAGGGTGGCTCAAGCTCGACTTACTTGTTTACACCTCCAGGCTTAGTGATTCAGGAGCTAAACATTAGAGAAAGTCAGCTTCTTCCACCAATTGTCTCTTCTCGGCAGTGGCCCCCGATTTCTCTTTCATGGACAATTCTTTAAAGATGATAACCTTCGTCTCCATGATTTTATCTCTATCCACATCAAGTTCCACGGCAGCTCATCTACTTATAAATGTAGGCCGACAATCAAAAAATATAAGCGGGTTACATCAACAGAGGAGTAGCCATTACCTTCTGAAGCGAGTTCGCCCACATCCTTATGAATTACCTCCATTGTCTCTGCAAACAGAGGAGTAGCCACTACCTTCTGAAGCGAGTTCATCCGCATACTTATGAATTTCCTCCATTGCCTCTACAACTCGATATTTTATTTCTTTAGCATCTTACATAACGGAATTATTGAGAACAATCGCAGATTCGAGTCGTTGATCGACAAATTTTTCTGCAAGAGAACAACTAGAACATCAAAAGCGTATAATCATAAAAATTAAAAAAAAAAAAAAGATGAGATGAAAGAAACTAACACATAGGTAACCAGGACTCAGCTCTCGGAGCGCGGGTATGTTGGAACCCCTCCAATGGTTTGGAGGGTCAGAAGCTTGTGAACTAGCAATAACTTTCAGAACAATAGCTGCTAGCTGCTCAGGTGCAGAATCCTTGACTAGTTGCACAAATGTAGGAGCTACCTCATCCAGATCAGCCTCTAAAACCAAGATTGGGGTTGCAGTACTCTCAACAGGATTGCTTAGCGGTCCTTTCGTTTCAACAGGTTTTGAACATTCGGCTTAAACATTCTTCTTTTTTAAATCATGGGAATCCCTGGAACACTTCCCTTTCTTCAGCATTCGCTGTACGATCTCTCTCAACGGCTGTTTAGGAATATCCAACTCTTACTTAGAGATCTTCCTCATCGGAGCAGTTTTGGAGTAACAAAGGATTCTCGAGAACAAAAGAAAGGAGTATGAGAGCAAAAACCTCAAAAAAATGAAGCCCCTAATTCGTTAAATTTCTGTAAGGATCGCTTTGCTATTAAATATCACAGAAGGAGTTGACAAGAAAAACATCTTTTCATGCATATGTTTAAAGCACCAAAGTGCTATATATGTAAATCTGAAAGTTAATGTGTGAGATATGTAAATACATAATAATTGTGTGCCGCATTTGTAAATTTCTCTAGAATATAATTTAAGCATTTAGGCCCGGACTTCTCATTTCTTCTTACATAAAATAATGAGTTTTGGGGATGGTCCAAACACTCAATTTAGATTGTCTCATTTGCAGAGTATTGATATTTCACGTTGCCAAAATGTGACTTGGTTTGGCATAGCTTCTGTAATTGAAGGACACAGAAATCTCCAGATTATTAATATGGGCGACTGTCACACTGTGGGTCATCTTTTTTTTTTAATTTTTTATTTTAGCGTCACTTTTTTAATGATTTTATTCTGATTTTCTCAATGAAAACCACAGGAAGTTACCCCAGCCTTTCTGTCACAGCTTAGCCTCATTAAAACTACCCTAAATATTCTAAAACTTGATGGCCTACAAATCTCAGATTCTGGCCTTCAGAACATTGGATCCAACTGCAATAACTTGATAGAGATTGGGCTCAGCAAATGCCTTGGAGTGACTGACAAAGGCATCGGTGAGCTCGTATCGAGTTGCACCTGCCTGAGGTCCATTGATCTCACTTGCTGTCATCTCCTCACCGACAATGTTCTCACTGCAATCTCAAAGTACTGTATTAACCTTACCTGCCTTAGATTGGAGGCTTGTTCTCTCATGACAGAGAAGGGATTTGGCCAAATTGCTACTGGTTGCTCTCAATTACTAGAGATCGATCTCACAGACTGCAGCATAAATGACATAGGTGAATCCCCAAAGTTGCTTTTGAAAGCCTTTCAGCTAAATTATGTTTTGGATGTTCTTTTTTATTAAATCAGGTTTATTATTACAGCATTGCAACACTTGACCAAATGTTCAGAGCTAAAGGTTTTAAAATTAGGTCTTTGTGCAAATATCACCAGCAAAGGCCTAGCTTATATTGGATCAAACTGCAATAATTTAGAAGAATTAGATCTTTACCGGTAAATATCAAAATTTAATGGATTTCTGTCATTTTATGCTGATTTTTGTCTGATTATTTGTTCTTTTTCAGATGTGTGGAAGTCGATGATTATGGATTGTCTTTTTTAGCTGATGGGTGTAAGAGGTTGAAGAAGCTAAACCTCTGCTATTGCATCCAAATTACGAATCAGGGGCTTCAGTATCTGAGCAGCCTTGAATGGCTATCAGATCTTGAGCTGAGGGGGCTTGTTAATGTTAGTTCTATGGGGATTACTTCCATAGCATTTGGTTGCAAAAGCTTAGTTGAACTGGACTTGAAGGGCTGCTCCTCAATAGATGATGCTGCCATGTTTGCCCTTGCTCGATATTCCTTAAATCTTCGGCAGGTAATCATCTTCATTCCGTAGCTATTTGATTAAGAAAAATTAAAATTTTCCATCTTATAAGGAGTTCCTTATTGTAGGCAAGCTCGAGTGAGCTCAAGGGCTTTCGGCTTATTAGACAAATGAGCCTAAATATTTTTGTTTGCGTTCAACTTGTTAATTTACAGAGTTAAAAGCTTGCCATTAAAGGACATGAAGTTAATCTGAAAATCATATATAAATTATAGAATACGTTGACATATGTAGATGTATATCCATACAACCATAAATATATGTGTGTGAGCATGCCTATATACATAAATTCATTCAATTTTTACATACATACGACACTACCTATGCATGAAAAAGTGTATTTCACTTTCTAAAAACTAAAATGATGGTATTTTTTATGTGATATGAAGGATTTGGATGGTATGTATGTAAATGCCTCTAGACACTCGCACACACAATGCAATCAACAAGGGGGCTTATTTGTGTTAGGCTTATTAAGTATATGAGTTTCTAAAAATTTGTCTTACCTGAGCTAATTATCAAGCAGAAAACGACAACCCGACACATAATTATATTGCATTTGAATCAATTTTACAGATTAATATATCAAATTGCTCAGTCTCTGGCGTCGGGCTGTGCAAGCTGCTTCGCACGTTAAAATGCTTGCAAGATGCGAAGCTGGTGCAGCTCACTCGAACGAGCGTGGAGGGCTTCGAGTTTGCTTTGCGAGCTTCACGATGTAAACTAAAGAAGCTGAAGTTAGCTGGCGATCTGATGGAGCTTCTATCCCCCAAACTTCTACAGATGCTTCAGGCTAGGGGTTGCAGGATTCGCTGGGTGGACAAGCCCATGCTCTTCAACTCCCTCACAATTGAATGAAATGCGAGTTCATAATGCTTATTTTGCATCTTTTGAATTTTTGTCTCAATATATATGCCTTATCTGATGTGTTAATGTTATTAGGATGGTGGATTTACATACATACCACTGAATTCTTATGTGCTGCATATTTCAGAGTTAAATCGTTATATTTATTTATATAACATCATAATTTCTAATATGATTCAAAATGTAATCAAATCTTGATTTCTTTTTGAATCTTACTTCAACTATATTTAAGGTTCACATTGTTTGAATTACATTTGAATACTATCCTAATCATAGTTGAACCATATTAAACTATGCTCGAACAATATTGAATCCATCTTTAAATCCAATTATTCAAATATTATTTAAGTCGGGCTAAGATTTAGTCGAACTATTTTCAAACAATGTTCATTCAATGTTCATATTTTGATTGAGCATTTATTATTATTATTATTATTATTATTATTCAAATATTATTTAAATCAAATTTATGGTAAGGTGTGAAGAAGGGTTGAAAAATGATTGAGGAAGGATGGAACAAGCTTCTACCTTCTTGTAGCTTGTAATCTGGCATTTAATGTCCTTATGAGTTTAGAGTTCAAAATAAATAATTTTTTTTAATAAACAAGTAATTTTACTCATATGAATAAACTCTTTTTACCAATATTCAAGGAAAAAAAATGAAAGTATTTATAAAGAAGTGTTTAATTCTCAATGAAAGGTTTAGTTTATTTTCTTAATATTGATTTATTTATGTTCCCAAAAAGAGATTTTAGCCCTTGAGCAAGAATTTTTTTATTTGCATCCTAAAATGCATTAATAATAAAAAATTGGCTACACAATTGATATTAAATTAGTTTTGCTCTTTTAATTTAGAACATGTTTGTGGTAGTTATAGACTTTTAGCTGTTTGAAGAAGCAACTGTGAAGTTATTACAAAAGAAATTGTTGATTAAAAAATTTTGGTGGCTATTATAATTTTTTTATTTTAAAAAAATCAGATAATAACTTTCTGGCAGCCAATTCAATTTACAAAATGCAGCTTTCCATCTCACTTTTTTAAGAAAATAGACCTAACATAATTTTTCTAAACGTCACAAAATGCGGTAAGCTTCATAAACTTTTTGAGTCCTCTATTTTAAGCTGTTTGCATGTTCAAGAAAATAATACTATGAAAATTAAAAACCAATTAAATTTAATAAAATCTAGAAATCGGAAAAAAAATAATAATTAATGCATTTGATGAAATTAATATGGCGCATGTTAAGCTCATAATAGGCTCATGTTCGGCTCAAAAAAATAAAAAAAAATCCTTCAGAAATCAACAATTTGGCGTTATGTGCATCCATGTGCTCATGTTTGGTGCTTATTTTTTTATATATATAACAAAGGTATTTTTGCAAGTTTGTATATATATATATATATATATCTTAGTAGTATATATATATATATATATATATATATATATAATTTTTTAGCACACATATCGTTAGATTTATTTTTATTTTTTATTCATAAAAGTTATATTTTGGAATCATGCTTGTTTTGATTTTGAGCCGGATAGCGCTGAAATCAAGCCTGAACGGATGCAAATAACTCAATTTGAGTCACCTTGTTTTAATTTCAAGCTAGATTGAGCTCAAATTGAATTTGCAGCTAAGTTTGCCCGAAATCAAAGATCACGACCCCCAGGTCATAAGCTGCATTGAATCCACAATTTCAAGCTGGATTGAGCTGATTTAAAATCGATTCAACATCCCTACACTCGATATAACCTGATTCTCGCCGAAAATTATTAGAATAGATGATGAGATGTGATGGGGATAGTTGTTTGATTGAGTTGTAGCAGGTTGCTATAATTATATTTTAATATTATAATTGTTATTGTTATTATTATTAAAAAATATTTGAGGGAATAATTGAGATGATGGAAGCCAAAATTATTATATTTGGTTTTGGGGGATTTGATGGTATTTGACAGAGGAATTGGCATTTGTTTTGTTTGACAGCGAAGGAATGGTGGTAAAAATGACTTTAGAGCCTAATTTTCTTGCTACATTTCTCAAATAATATCATATATATTTTTTTCTTTTTAAAGAACTATTATATAATCTCTATTTTATTTTATTATTTTTTTTAAGGAATGGTCAGAATCAATTATACAAGCCACCAATCACCCTTAATACGCCTAGCAATTCGAGTATCACCTCCCTAAGACTAACTGTGCTGAGTGGATTCAAACCCCGACCTCAGGGGTTTTGTAATGTGGATGTTAAACAACTGACTGGGATAGACAGCACGTGAACATATTCTCTTATTATGCAAGAAAAATATTATATTTCATAATTATTAATTTTTATATAACTTATGCGCGCTATAAAATGTAAATATATTAGAAAAAAGAATATTTTTTTTTTCAATAAATAAATAAATAAATAAATATATATATATATATAATATTATGAGAGAGAAAAAATAAAAATGAAAGTCTGAGACACCTAAGATGGGGCCCACGGGTGCCAGAGGAGAGGCAATGAAGACCTTCCCCCATTCATGACATCTCTTCGAGTTGGCTTTCAATATATAAAAAAATTGATTCTTCATGGTTTAACGAAAACAGCTCCTCTCTCTCTCTCTCTCTCTCTCTCTCCTTCATCCTCCTCCTCTGCTCTCCTCAGCTCCTCCAGTTCCGCCTCCAGCTTCCCTGTCCACATGAAGGGGCTAGTAAGTACGTTGTTTTCGTGTTTTTCTCTCCCCTGTTCTTCTACATTTTCTCTCGTTTTTTTGTTTTTTTGTTTGATTTTTTGGTGCAAAAGATGCTGTCTTTCTCACTTGACTACTACCATAGTTTTCTAATTCAATAATGGCATGTCAAAATTTTTGACCTTGGTTAGTTCTCTTAGTTCGATTCCTCTGTCGTCTTTCTTCATTTGTTTAGAAGTGATGGACGATTCAATCTGTTTCTGGCAACAATATGCTTCTTGTTTGATCCAGAGGTCTTGGATCTTGCAAAAACTTAAATTTAAAATTTCCAACTTCTGTGCCATTTTAGGGTTCTATGTAATTCCGCTCAAAGCGGTGATGAGTGATGGCTATGCTGCGCCTCGGATCATGTTTACCCGTATGATTGATTTCTGGCTCCTTGTTCTTCTTCATTCTGGCACCCAACAAGCTCCCATTGGCTCCGTCATATTAGGTTTTGGCATCAATCTGCTCTCTCTGTCCGCTAACTGAATCCTAATTTGGATTGGTGGAACGTTAGATTTTTTTTATTATTTTTTTAATTATAGTTTTGAACTGACAATCTTCACGTCCATTTTGCAATTTTCATCCTAATAATCCAATTCAAGATCTCATTTTTAATCATTTTTAGAATCTTACCAATTCAAACAAATCTGCAATGACGACCTTTTCTTCACCTCCTAGTTGTGCACATCAGCTGTTTGTGTGATTGCCCAAGCCCTCTTTTCTAATGTTTCTGTCTTTTGTTCCATTAGGTGTCATTGTATTGGTTCTATTAGTGGTTGATGCTATTAAAGGTAGCCAATATGATGATGGGATTTGTGAATACAAGAGAGCATTGGCTCCAAGGCCCCACAGCGTCACACTCACTGAATTCGGTGCCGTCGGGGACGGGAAGACGGTGAACACCCTCGCCTTTCAAAATGCAATCTTTTATTTGAGATCTTTTGCTGACAAAGGTGGAGCTCAGCTGTTTGTTCCCAAAGGGAAATGGCTTACAGGGAGCTTCAATCTCATAAGCCATCTCACTCTATTTCTTGACAAAGAAGCTGTCATCATTGGAACTCAGGTCCTTTTCATTAGCCCTGGCTTGGATTCTTCATATTTTCTTTTATTTTTGCTTAATGTGGAAGCTATAGTTTTGGAAGATTTACATGCATACCACTTAATTCCTATGTATTTACATATCTAACATCTGATTTTAATGTTTACATACATTGCGCCTTATTTATGCATGAAAAGTTGTATTAGAAGTTAAAATGTTGGTATCTTTTATGTGATGGGGAAGAATTGGGTGGTATAAATATAAAAATTAAAATTTTGATGTTAGATAATTAAATTTATAGGAATTGAGTGGTATGTATGTAAATGCATTTATAGTTTTGGACAGGTCCATAACCCATCTCATCTGTTATTAATGTATGGATTTAAATCATGAAGTTATTGGCCCACATTTCCCAATATTTTGATATAGTAGTTAGCCAACTTTGTTTGGGATTAGTCATGAATTAATTAGTTAATTTTTAATCATTTGGAAATTATTGAATTGGTGAAACCAGCTTTATTTTGTAATAAAAGCACATATCTCTTGTATTTGTTAATTTTCCATTTTATTGTGAAGGATATAATAAAAAACCTACCTTTAATATAGTAGGCATCCAACTTTTACTCTTTTAACCTTCAAGGGCTCTTGCTTTGAGAATGGTGTCCCCTTGTGGGGATAATCTGTTGAAATAACATCTAATTTATTGTCTTCAGAGTCGTAGAACATTTCTAAATGCTTTTAGTTGGTTCTATCTTTTCTAGTTGTTAATTTCAGTTCTCGCATTTGCCACATAGGAATTGATATATGTACGTTAATGCATAAATTCTTGGTAAATTTACATACATACCACACAATTCTTTTTTGTTTACATATCTAACAACTAAAACTTGATATTTACATTTATAACAATTTGGTATCATACACCTTTTGCATGAAAAGTGTATTTCACTTTAGAAAGTTAGAAATAGTGGTATTTTTTATGTGATTTTAAGGATTTCAGTGGTATTTATTTAAATAGCAAAGCTTTGGGGATAGATATGTAAATATATAAGAATTGTGTGGTATATTCTAGGTTTTCCATGTATAAGTCATTATGGTTCCTTCCAGGTTCCTTGGCTCAATTCCTTCTTCCACAGGAAAACAAAATTACACGCAGTTTACAAAGTATAAATAAAAGAGAAATTTTTATTTCTTCATTGAGAAGTCATGTAAATTAGCTTAAAGTTTAGATTTTGGTTTCAAGTATATAACAACAACTCAATCATCACCATTCAAGTCCAGCACTATAAATTCAAATTTGTAAAACGTTTTTTAAATTTACTTTTGACAGGTTGATTAATTTGATTTTACTCTTTGTTCCTCATCTCATTGCAGGATCTACAACAATGGCCTACAGCAGACCCTTTACCTTCATATGGTAGCGGAATTGACCTTCCTGGAAGAAGGTACCAGAGTTTGATTAATGGAAACAATTTGACAGATATAGTCATAACAGGCATGAGCACTAATTTGATTTCTCTCATTTTAGCATTTATATTTAGCAAAGCTTATTGGTCATTAATCCTTCAATACCGTATATATATATATATTTCTTATTAAACAGGGGATAATGGAACCATTGATGGCCAGGGGTTAGTGTGGTGGGATTCTTTTCGCTCTCATAATTTGAGTTATAGTCGGCCTCATCTCATTGAGATTGTGAATTCTAAAGATATAATTGTCTCAAATTTGACCTTCTTGAATCCCCCGGCCTGGACAGTTCATCCCGTCTACTGTAGGTGAGTTTTTGGGACTGATTGTCCTTTTTTGTCCATTTGTCTAAGAGAGATTATACTGTTTCTGAAAGTTCTAGCAGTACTAACACATGTATTTTATTTTGTTCTGTAAATTTAGCAATTTGATGGTTCAGAATGTAGCTATCAATGCTCCATCAGATTCACCGTATACAAATGGTATTGTTCCAGGTTGGAATCAACTCTCTTGTAATATTATAACTGTTCTTTCATTTTCAATTTATTATTGGTGACTGCATTGGGCGAAAATCAGAGAAAAAGTCACAAGCTGAAAGACTTTGCTGCAACCAGCAATTCAGCTGCTTCAGGGGAGTCTATTTGGCTTGTGAATTTTGGAAGTAAATGTTTTTATTATTCATTATTTGGACCTAACTATACCAAGTTTTTTGTTAATGCACAGTTTTGGGATTTCAAGTAGTGTATAAGACATAAACAATACAAAAATATAAAGGAAAATAATAGAATTTAACCTGTCATTAGTTGAATCAAATCATTCATCTTGATGGTTCCATCGGACAGCCACTTCTTATTCTACAACTATACAGTCCTTACAATGAACATTTTTTATTAAGCTGTGAAGCCTAATTAATTTCTCACAAAGAAATGCTGCTTTAGACATATAAATAATATGGGAATTTGCCTGCCTAACTGCTGCGCTGTTGCTTTTATTACAGATTCATGCTCAGATATGTGCATTAAGGACAGCAGCATCACCGTGGGTTATGATGCAATCTCCATAAAGAGTGGTTGGGATGAGTATGGGATTTCATACTCCAAACCTTCTTCCAACATCCATATCACCAATGTCTTCCTCCAGTCCCTTTTAGGATCTGCCCTGGCGTTTGGCAGCGAAATGTCTGGCGGAATCTCCAACATTCATGCAGACCACCTTCAAATCTACAACTCATATATTGGCATCAACTTTAAAACCACTAGAGGCCGTGGTGGCTTGGTGGAAGACATTTTGGTCTCTGAAGTAGAGATGCAGTCTGTCAACACTGCAATTAACTTCGATGGGCACTTTGGCGGTCACCCTGATGACAGATATGATCCTGATGCACTTCCAGTGATCAATAGGATCACAATCAAGAAAGTCATTGGCACCGATATCTCTGTTGCAGGCTTTCTGAACGGTATAGAGCAAGATTCATTCACTGCAATTTGCCTTTCAAACATCAACATGACCCTCGCGCCGCCGTCTTCGTCTGAGGCTTCAACTCCATGGATTTGCTCCAACGTCTCGGGTTTCTCTCAAGAGGTCTTCCCGGAGCCATGTTCTGATCTCCAGGAACATTACTCCAATTCATCTCTTATTTGTTATTCCTTTGCTGCCAAGTACAAGTATGTTCCTCTGGCCATGGCATAAGCAGCTAGTTGTATCTGTTGCTTGGTTTTTCTCTTTATACAGTGTTTGATGCCTCAAGCCTTCTGCATGCATCTTGCAGGTGATTCTTTTCCATTAAAATAAGCTGTATGTAAGTTTCTTATTGCCTACCCGGGTGCCTACCTGAGCCTGGAAGTTAAAAATGCGTTGTACAGCTCCATTTATTTCATTCAAATTTGTAAGAAATTTTTTGGTTTTTGGTCGTGTTTTGAATGCAGCCATTTGGTTTCATGCAAGTATGATATTGTTTAATGTTGCATATAAAGTGAAGCATAAAATTGATGTCAAAATCTTATGAGAATTGTTGTTTTTATGAATCAGATTAGCTGACAGGAGAGGTTGAATGTTTGTTTCTCTATTATTAATATGGCCAACTCCAATAATAGATTTGCACAACTTGATGGGCATAACCACCTCATGAAGTGCTTCCCAAAATGACAAAAAATAAATAAAATGGTTGGTGGAGATTTGAAGGAGCTCATGGTGGGGATGGTTGCTGCAGTGATTTGCTTAAATGATGGAGCCTTTGTAGGGCACTGCAAGATTTTGCTGTTGATGTATATCTGTGGTAGGGATTAGGTGTTTTTTGGTAGAATGAGAAGGGGAAATAATAGGAAAAATTAACTTAAATAATGATATTTTTTTAGTTTTTTTTTACTGTAAATTAAAATATTCATTATATATATA